AATGGGCTGTGAGGTCAGCTTTTGATAATTATTATGATCAAAGACCATCCATCATTGGCCGCGAGACCACGACTGACGAAGCATTTCTCCCTCTGAAAACGCTACAAACAAAATCAAGTTCTTGGGGTTTATAACTGAGAGCGTGATTACAGAGAGCTTTTATTACATTATTGAAAAAGTATGAATTTCTGAACTAATTATGTTGTTAATTCAGATTAACACTTTTACAAAAGTGACTACTTACTATGAAATACAATAACTAACACAATTTCACACCTGTGAAGCTATTTGGTTTTATAGATACATGTAATAGTTTGATTTGTCAGTTAGTGAAGCTACTTTAAATTACTTTACCTGTGACACAATGTTAGCTGTGAGTTCATGAAACTTCATAGAGTATATAAAAGGAGTACATATACTGTCAAGTCAAGTGTTGGTTTAAGTAATTATCATCTTGTTTTGTGAAACCAAAGTTATCAATTTGAATGAGAGACTGAGCTGAAGGGCACACAATAGTTCTACATGAGATCCTGTTTTCACTGGTTGACAAAGCATAACATGCTTTTTCTTTTGACTCTAAATTGGACTACAGTTTATTTGACAAACATAATGTGTTACTGAAGGCAACTTCAAGATAGTGATTGACTAATAACCTAATTGGGAAAATATTTATCGAGACCATATACACATCTCATTTCGTTCGGTTAATGGCGTTACACCGTGCTAGCCATGAAAAAGAAGGTTCAAGGCACTTCCACATTAGCCTCTGTTTTCATACATGGGAGCTTTGTAAACTTTTAATAAAGTCTACGCTTACCTCACGTTGTCTGCTTGCTTTCAGCAGCCATAGACAAAGGTCATGCTAAGTCAAACATACATTCAAGTGACCTCAAGATTATAAGAATCAGAAACTGTACAGACAAAGGTCTAAACCCAACCCTAACAAAATCCTAACAGTGTATGTCAGCATTTGTCTGTGTAAGTGTGTAAGATGCTGTACTAAAAACAACACAAGTATTCTAACAAGATATAATTCCTTAGGTCCTATTGATCTCACTATTCAAACTTTGTTGCTGAAAAACATACTTTAAAGGCTTTTGTGGGATAATCACCTACTTGTACAATATCTCGTGCAACTTTATGCAAAATATATTATACAAGACAAGAAAAAACAAAAATATAACGTACATAAGTATTTGGTGAATACTTTGTTGAATCACTTTTGGCAGCAATTACAGCCTCAGATTTTTTTTTTTAGTATGATGCTCCAAGCTTGACATACCTACTTACAATTCCTCCCATTCTTCTTTGCTGAATCTTTCAAGCTTCATCAGGTTGGATGTGGAGAACTGGTGAACAGCCATTTTCAGAACCTTTCAGATATTCAGTCAGCTTCAAGTCTAGCCTCTGGTTCAGGACATTCACAAATTGGTCCCAAAGCCACTCCCACTCCTTTGTTATCTGGGCTGTGTGCTTAGAGTCTTGATCCTTTAGGTTCAAAGTGCTCTAAAAGGTTATCATCAAAGATTTCCATGTAGATTTCTGTATTAATCTTTCCCTTAACCCTAAACTAGGCCTTACAGTTTTCCACCCTGACTCCTGCTGGCAAAAAAAGCATCCTGACAGTATGATGCTGCCACCACCATGCTTCACTGTAGTAATTATACTGACCAGGTGATGAGCAGTTCCAGGTTTACATAAGACATGACACTTTGCATTCAAGCCAAAGATTTCAATCTTTGTTTCATCAGAGCAGAGAATTTTGTTTATCATGCTCTGAGAGTTACCTGGATAGTGCCTTTTGGCAATAATACTGTTCAGATTGGCTGAGCAGCCAGCTCTGGGAAGAGTCCTGGTGACCTTCAATGCTGCAGACGTTTTTCTGTACCCTTCCCTGATCCGTTTGTCAATACAATCCTGTCTCAGAGATCTACAGACAATTCTTTGGACTTCATGGCTTAGCCTGGTTTGTCTATTAGTTCACAGTGGATGTCAGTTTACATTCACTGAAAACTATGGGACTATATACAAGTATGTGTAAATAAACTACCAGTCAAAGGTTTAGACACATCTTCACATTTAATGTTTTTTCTTTATTATCATGTTTATTTACTTTGTAGATTCTCACTGAAGGCATCAAAACTATCAGTGAACACATGAAATTATGTAGTAAACAAAAAAGTGTGAAATAACTCAAAACATGTTTTATATTTTAGATTCTTAAAAATAGCCACTCTTCATGAGGAAGTCACCTGAAATGGTTTTCCAACAGTCTTGAAGGAGTTCACAGAGATGCTGAGCACTTGTTAGCCCCTTTGCCTTCACTCTGCGGTCCATCTTATCACAAACCATCTCAACTGCGTTTAGGTCAGGTGACTGCGGAGGCCAGGCCATCTGGCGCAGCACTCCATCACTCTCCTTCTTGGTCAGAGAGGCCTTACACAGCCTGGAGGTGTGTTTGGGGTCACTGTCATGTTGAAAAATAAATGATGGTCCAACTAAACAAAAACTGGATGGGATGGTATGTCACTGGAGGATGCTGTGGCAGCCACACTGGTTCAGTGTGCCTTCAGTTTTGAATAAATCCTCAACCAGCAAAGCACTCCTACACCACCACACCTCCTCCTCCATGCTTCATGGTGGGAACCATGCATGTAGAGACCATCAGTTCACCTTATCTGCATTGCACAAAGATAGGGAGGGTGGAACCAAACATCTCAAATTTGGACTCATCAGACCAAAGCAGAGATTTCCACTGGTCTAATGTCCATTCCTTGTATTGGCCCAAACAACTCTCTTTTGCTTGGTGCTTTTCCTTAGTAGTGGCTTTTCAGCAGCTATTTGAGCATAAAGGGCAAATAGCAGATTCATGCAGTCTCCTCTGAACAGTTGATGTAGAGATGTGTCTGGTACTCGAACTCTGTGTGGCATTTATCTGGGCTCTAATCTGAGGTGCTGTTAACTTGTGATTTTTGAAGCTGGTGACTTGGATATATTTATCCTCAGCAGCAGAGGTGACTCTTTGTCTTCCTTTCCTGAGGCGGTCCACATGTGAGCCAGTTTCATCATAGTGCTTGATGGTTTTTGTGACTGCACTTGGGAACACATTCAAAATTTTCCAGACTGACGGACTGTCAGTTCTTAAAGTAATGATGAACTGTTGTTTCTCTTTACTAGTCCTTGCCATATGAATTCTAACAGTTGTCAAATTAGGGCTGTCAGCTCTGTGCCAACCTGACTTCTGCACAGCACAACTGATGGTCCATTTCATTTCAACCATTTCAGGTTATCACAGCCCTGTCAGCAAAGCAAATGGTAGCTACTTTCAGAATTCTAAAACACAAGATATGTATAAAGTTATTTATCCTTTTTTCGTTGCTGCATAATTCCATATAGCTTGACTCATATAATAGATGTCTTCAGTATGTGTTTGCAAAAATAAAGAAAAA